TGTTTACATTGTTCTTATGTTTGCATTTAAAAGGATTCAATAAAACTCTTGATATTTCTGAAATGTGAAATGAATAACATGAAGGTGTATGCTTTTTGAAAAAACTGTTATTATCTTGATATTAATTAAATTACAAGGAAGCGACAAATTTAAAGTGCGATAATAACCATTTGAGTTTTTCGTCCTTCTCAACTGTATGTTCTCTCTAAATTGTGGATTGGCCAATTTAAGTTAAGTAACGGAAGAGTGATGCCTCCTTTTATAAGCAAGAGTAATTCTAAGGCTTCAGTTGCTAACTAAGAAAAGTAAAATCAAGATTATAATTAAAACTGCCTAATATTTTAGCCGGTTAAGATCCTTCTTCCAAGGCATAATGAGCTTTGTATCCCTATCTTATGATCTAAGATTACAATCTACCAGGGTAACCATGAGCATTAATGTATCGGTGAATATACGAAACAAAGAAAATAGTAGTTAGCAGGCATGATTAAAAGCATGAGCGGCTTCACATTAAGTTCAGTCAATGGCAAAGATTTTGACTCATTTCGTACTGATATTAATAATGAATTTATTATAAGTTTAGGTATTGGCACAGATTCTCAATTTATCAGGGTATTTAGTCTAAGCGTAGGTTTATGTAATGCAGCTCCTTATAGAGGCAGAGTACTTGCAACCTATATATATACTTAGAGTAGCTTGTATCTTAGTAAAATTACATAATTGTAATTGAGGTCTTCTTTAAAAGATTGCTTATGGCATTTGAGCATTTATTGGATGGATAGCTGAGAAAATATCAAAGAAGAGCAGCCAACTCAATACTTTTGCCTTTAATATTTACATGTTACTATTAAGAAGGCAAGCTCAAAACCTAGACAGAAATAGCAACATCATTACAAGCTACAATAAAGTTGCTGATCCTTCATGAAGTCATCAGGAAGTTGAGATTTCTATTTATTCATCAGAAGAAATAGCAGGCACATCTACAAAATATTTAAAGGTTTGCACTTTTCTGTTGAGTATTAAATACATTCAGAGCCAATAATTGCATATCAATGAATACATGAATAAATCTCAAGCTCTTCATGAATTTATTCAAAGTAACTGCGAGATCCAAATTTTTTTGCATTTAAATTACAAGCGATTAAAGAAGAAAGTTCATAAGTATTAAAGGTTCTTTCAACAAAAATCGCGAGACTACTTTGACTTGATGTTTAATATTGTAATAATATTCTACGTTACAATTTACATTTCTTGCACATGAATATTATTATGCAATCGGATATGCTGAAATAATAAAGTGGTTATTTTTAGTTATAAACACTCTTAAAAAAGACTAGAATTTTTATCTCAATATAATCTTATTGCTTATTAATTGGCAAGATTTAGATATACTAGATCAAAACCTTGCACACATTTCACAGAGGACTTATTACTGATTCAATAATAAAAGTTTGATGTAGACTCAAGGGTAGTCATAATAATAACACAAATCGCACACGTTCAAATAGCTCAAATAGTTTTCAGGGTTATATAATTTTTGGCTAGTCAGTGTTACAGTTTTGTCCTGCATTCTGTCGAAGTCCACCAAGCGTGAATGATTTTGCGACTCCTGTTGATTAGATATCGGTAAATTTTAGTGTTAGACTACGAGATGCAAAGGCTATGTAGTGATATAAGAGCCCTAATTAAGAATTAATACAGATATAGATGTTCCTCTACAATGCAGCAATCAAGCTGGATAACAATAATTGACATCAACATACCAATTTACAATTAACTTTAACAAGTACAAGCTGCCCTTCACAGCAGAGCTAAACATGCTCGAATTAATTTTATAAATGTGAACAATTATGTGTGGAATAATACCAAGAAACACAAGCTTATAAAAGGGATGAAGATATTTTCTGGCATATTAGAGTAACAAGTGGTTCTGAAGCATTTTGAGGAATAAATTTGGCACCAATTCAAGCACGATTTAATGAAGAATATTCAAATTTCTAGAGGCGAATGGAGAGCAGTTCTAATAAAAAATTCTGTTAGATATTGATAATCTATTATTATATCTTTAGTGCAAAAAGTCATAGTGAAGTCAATTATTTTAAAGTTCAGGTCTGTGGATCAAATTCTCTTCATTTATTAGTTTAAATGAAGGTTGATTTGAGGGGATAATCTTTTGAAAATATTAGAATTAGAATATACTTCCTTAGTAGGAGCAAATTTAGTAAGATGTGACTTAAGTGGATCTGAATTTGGCGATGTCATTATTAGAGGAATGTATTTATGTGAAGCAAAATTATTTAATTGTCAGTGGAGGAATCTAAGAAAAAATGAGTTAAATTAAATGCCCATATTGGAAGTGTCAATTAAGTTTGCTTTTCACGAGGTGGGTATTTGAACATAGTTAGCATCCAAAGCCAGGTGTTCCTATTATGCAAGTACCCTCCAACACTTTATATGAATTACAATTTGTATTGGTTAAATATAGGTTAGGATCAGCTTTTGTGCAAAATTGATAAATGCACATTTTTACCTACTTTACCCCATTTACACTTCATTCCTGAAAACGTAGAATAGCATTGCTCTTCTTATGCGATTTCACATTTACTCTTTTTATCAATACATCCAATCGATAATTTTGAATTTGATAATTCTTACACCTAGGCACAATGGCAGCCACTCTTCACAATGTGAATTGCTCTCATAATTTGGTAGAGCAGTAAGGCATTTTTGTCTATACATCCTTAATTGATTTAGCAAACGGTTTTTTTTGAATCAATTTAGCAAAACTCAATTTCTTAAATATTTTCACAAAAATAATCTTTACAACCAAAATTATCTTAATTAAATGTGCAATTTGAACACGCCTCTTAACCTTTTTCATGATTTTTGTAAGTTGGCAATTTCAATTTATTACATTCTAATAGTTTGCATTTCCCTTGAGCCAAATACAACTTTGGTTATTAAAATAGCATCACAAATGTCTGGTGTCTATTAACATCCACCATCTAACTATAAAATTTCAGTATTGCTTATAATCTGTTTAACTACAATGAAGTGGGGCATGATTAGGTCCCCACTTTTCACATTTATTATTTTACTACATACAATCTTATTATTTAGTTGAATAATAATCTACTTAGGATATATACCCTTCGCATATTTAAAGTCTTTATTGATATCCTCCATTTTCAAAAGTAACGCATCTAACAAATTGTCATAATCTTAGCATTATTGATAATGTCAAGTGACCATTTCCTTAACCCAAAAACAGTATCCGCCTATAAATTTTGATTAAGCATCCTATCTCGGTTTTTTAGTTCTTATATTCCAATATTTCTACGAACATTGTGCCATCAGAAACACATCTATAGGAAGATTGTTAGCGTTAATCTTTTTTGAGTACAAGGCAATCAACGAAGTTATTACAGTTACCCAAATAAAACCACATTACTTCTAGATTCGACAATCTTCTTCTGCAAAATTTGAATATACTCTCATCTTAATAACCTTAAATGTATGTTCTACTAGAGTTTAAAATACACACCATTCTACCAGATGCATAAACCTGAGTTCTAAATTAAGCTTAACTACGACATGTCCGCAAACTCCTTTTTTTTGAGTTTTCCTGACTGCTTATTAATTGAAATAGGGAAAACGATAGGTTAAAGAAATATATATATTAAATATTTTTATGTGAATAATTAATCATTTTGTCAGACATCTTCTTTTCTTAAAGGGCTCACATTCCGTTTTCACTAATTTCTTTATTCTTTCTGCTAATTTGTCTGCCATCTCTTACATCGACTTCTGCACAGAAGTATAAAACGGCTTGGCCGTGTCCATTATATGCTACTAAATCTTCTGCATTTTTTCCAACCAGTTTCCGGGTTCTCCGGTTTTGGGGTTGGTTTGGGGTTTGGGTTTGGGTTTGGGTTTGGGTTTGGGTTTGGGGTTGGGGTTGG